CCTCCTCCTCCTTCTGCTCCTCCTCTTCCTCTTTCCCTTCTCCCTCCCGCCCCTTTCTCTTCCTTCTCTTTCTCTTCTTTCTAACCCCCCTTTCCTGGGAACTGAAGCTTACAATTGTTAAACACACACTCAACCACAAAACCACATCCACAGTCCTTCATTCTTTATTTCCTTGTTGAAATAGTTCCTTGACTTTTAGAGTAGAAGGTGAGCATTGACCTGGGCCCCACACAGGACTGGCCTGTATAACACTGCTGTGCTCCACTGACTGGGCCTTGGCTTGGGTTGCTTTTCCTACTAGGCTCTGACTCTCTTTGTTCATGTAACATTGCTATTCTTTATCTCAGGCCTACAAGCACTTCGGCAGGACCCCTGTATCAGTGTCCAAAGAGCAGCTGAAGCTACCTTACAGACCCTCCTGAGACAATGTAAAGGGAACAGTATCCCATTGTAAACCATCAAGAAGTAAACTGCTAGGCTTTTTCTAAAATTGACTCCTGTCTCTGCACTACAAACTCACAAATTTACAAGCATCTTGAGGGCAGACACTGTGCCTAGGATGAGACTCTTGCAGTGACATATTCCTGACTTTCCAGACTCTTCCTGGTGTCTTCCATTAATAAGAGGTAAATCCAATAAATCCACTTCAGGGACAGCCTGTTGTTGATTGGTGATGGCTACATAGCTTTGCATATGTTAGTCCCTCCTCTTGAGAACGTTCCTTTCCAAGAGACATCAAAAAGTGACATAGCCTAACACACTCACACTGCCAGTAAGAAGAGGGCTACTGCTGTTTTCCACACATAGCCTTTTAATATCTTTGTCAGCCTTGATTGCTATCCACACTCTTCTCTTTCTAAAATACCATCACATGATAAACTTTAACCTGTCTATTATCTGCTAGGTTGTAATTTCTACATCTAGACTATGCTAGGTAGTTTCCTACAAAAGCCCTTGCTGGCAATCTTCTAAATCATATGATTATTTCCTTTTCCATTTTTATCCTACAACATAGCATGCATTTTTGTGCATATGCCTTGCATCAGCAAGGAACACATATGTGCTAGCATTCTTCATATATTGGATGTCCCTGCAAATTCCTACTACTTCCATTCTAATAGCTTCACCTTTAAACTCTTTGAGGAAATGTCTTTTATTCCTATAAAACCTAGAGACAAAAGTAGTCTTTTGGGTGGATTCTGGACCTAAATCCCTTTATTCATTCACTTAAACACTCATTGCATGCCTACAATTTTGATGGCATTCTTATAGCCACTGGGACCACAGTGAGAGAAAATAGAAAAATGCTCCAATGGAGCTTATATTTTGTGCAATCTTTGTATATATTCTAGAGGAGGGAGCCAGCTGCCAATATAGCTTCCAATGATCCTGGGTCCTAGCGCTCAAGTCCCTGTATAGGACTGGCCTGTGCAATCAATAGAACGTTTCAGACATGATGGGCTGTGACTTCTAAGACAGGGTCATAAAATATATTGGGCACTCCTAAATCATTCACTCTGCAGAAGCAGCACAATCTAATGAGAGCTCTATGCCAGAACCAAGCTAAGATACTCCAAAATTCCTGAGCCACAAAGCTATATGAGATAATAAATCTTTGGTGTTTTAAGCCAGTAAGTTTTGAGGGTAATTTGTTATGCACCAATAGGTAACTATTGCACAGAAGATCTATGATTCCACCAAAATGGTTTGTAAAGTTTTATGTATAATTGTGTAGGTGGACTATCTGGGTAATGGCCTTCATTAAATTCTTAATGGAGTCACAAACTACTCCCAAGTATAACATATATGAAACAGAGCAAGAAAAAGAAGACAGGAATGTGGGTTTAATTGACCTCTTTTGGCAGGTTATTTTAAATCAAACAACTTTTCAAAATCCAGTGAAACTTTCTTCACTGATGAAATATTTTTTTCTTTCTATACTAAACTGATGTGATATCCCACTAGCCACATGCAGCAACTGAACACTTGAAAACTGGTTTGCATATCTGAGAAATTAAACTTCCATTTTGTTCAGCCTCAATTTTAATTGAGTATCCACATATAGTTAGCCATTATAACACTGTACTGGATAGCTTCAGAATGTAAGATGAGGGATCCTTAATACAATTTGGTTTGAGCTGGGTATGGCGGTGCATGCCTGTAATCCCATTGCTCAGAAGGTAGAGGCAGGAGAATCAGGAGTTCAAGGTCATCTACAGCTACATATCAAGTTCAATGCTAATCAGAGATATATGAGACCCTGTCATTTAAGAAGTAATAATAATGGTTTCAGCCACATTAGAACTATAGGTAATCTTCAATAAAAGTATAAGTTTGACACAGCACCTTTTCTAATAATCCTTTATATATCCCAACAACACTGCACTTAGACTGACCCCCAGAACAAACCACAGTCAGAAAAACTTCGTTCTTTTCCTCTATAACGCTTTCCACTAATCTCCCCCAGCTGCTGTAATTTCCCCCAGATAGTTACCACCAGTATTCCCTGCCAAGTGTTCTTGGTTCTCCCAAGACCACTGTATGCTTCTTCCCAAGAGTTTAAATATAAGGATGTTCCCCATGAGAAGAAGAAGAGACAAGTCGTTGCTGATCTCAGGGAATTAGTCACAGAGGAAACAGTTGTTGACAACAAATGCTCTCTTGAAGAAGCTACAGATCCTTTTCAGCTTCACTCCTGTTCCTGTTGTCTGCCTCACTATTATTGGCACACGTAATTGCTTCTCAACTCATGTTTGTTTAGGATGGAGATTCTACAATGTTCAAAGACTGCCCAAAATGTGTAGCATTGCTTTTGGAGGCTATGAATCACACTATTTTGCAACTCTCTGTACTGCCCTTGAACCCAAGAATGATAGCCAGTGTTCTGCTGGTAAATTATGGATGTTTAATTTGGCTGACCCTGCTATGAAGGCAGTTTTATCAGAATAGAAAACAAAGATTACAGATGGGAAGAAACAAATAGACTTCCAGTGAAAGAAGCCAGAGGAGTTGCTTAACTGGAATTGTCCCTGCATTGCCATAATTTCAAAATATAAAATACAAATGAAGCATTTCTTCTGAACTCCTCAACAGATTCTGAAATTGCAGTAAATAGTTTCTAAAAGTTCTCTTTATTACTTGATCTTAAACCTGATCATTATCCTCAAATCATCACAGTACAGAATTAACGAAAGCATGGTTAAGCAGATGTGAGGACACCTGGAAATTAATCAGGAACCCTGGACAGCAACTTTCTGAGAAGTAAATTCATACACCTTTAGCTTGGGAATTGTCAATTCCTGAGATTTTACTTTCTTACTCGTTTCTCAAAAATATCCCTTATAGTAGCATAGCAGAAAACATGACAGAATTCTGGAAAATCTGAGGAGGAAGATAGTGGAATTTTTTGCCAAATTTAAAGAGTGGAGGAGGTGTCTGTGTGTTTATGTCTGAGTCTATGTGTGTGCATGCTCACAAAGTGTCCTGGATTATATCTACTAAGTTATGTCATTATCCTAAAGGCAAGATAAATTTGAAGAATATAATTCTCCAAATATATGTGACTCATACTTGTTTTTCAATTTGAGAGCCACTGAAAAAACACAAGATAAGAAATCCTTCCTCCTATACAAGCTACTACTTCCTCCAAACAGTCTCAGAGGCAAAGCCTGAGGATTAAGTTAATCAGTTCCCTAAATCCATTCTTAACTGCAAAGGGGTCAAAAAGAGGCTCTATTTTAGAAATGGAGAGCCTGGGGAAGTTCATTGCCTGTAGGACAGGTTAACCAGAACTTTTTCAATTCTGAAGAGAGGTAGAAGGAAGTGGGAATTGATTTTTACCCTGCTGCCAATGGGATCCTGAGAAAATTATCATTTCACATCCTGTTCTCAGAGCTTGTGCTTGGAGGTGGGATCAAGAGAGTGCCATGCCTATGGATGGAGCATATTCTACCCTGTGGGAAGGGAGAGTTTTCCAGTCTGTTACTTCTGGAGAGGGTACAATGAAGTTCCATCTGAAGATAACAGGAGGAAAGTTTTTACTAAGAGATAAGATGATTCTGGGGAAATGCAATTCAAAACCACAATAGGTTAGAACCCAACCCCAGGAACAGAAGCTATTATTTAAAAAAATAGTAAAGATGGAAATACTAGTGAGGGTGCAGTGAAAAGGGAGCCCTTGTGAATCCTCAGTGGGGATAAAACCATGGAAGTGGAGTGAAGGCGTCTAAAGATTAAAAACAGAACTACCGCCTGATCTAGCAATCCCACTATTGGGAATATATCCAAAGGAAATGAACTATGTGTGCTAAAGAGACATCTAGACTCCCATGTTTATTGTAGTACTATGTACAATAGCCAAGAATTGAGAGTAACCTAAGTGTCCACCAACATGTAGATTTTTTTAATTCGATACTTACACACATTGTAATACCATCCAGCTTTTAAAAAGAACGAAATCCTGTCATTTGTGACAATACGGATGGAAGGAGTGACCATTACATTAAGTGAATAAGTCAGCAACAAAAGACTCATGGAAGTTGAGAATGGAAGGGTAGTTACCAACAGCCAGAAAGAGTGGGGAGTTTGGAGGAATGAGGAAAGGTTAATCAATGAGTGCTAATTTATAGTCATATAAGAGCAAGAAGGTCTTGTGAGTTACTGCACATACAGTAACTATACGTAACAATAATATACCCTACATCTCCAAAACCTCCAAAAATGAAAAACATTTGCTGAGATAAGTATCTTTAGTCTGCTTTAAACATTATACAACGTATACAATATCAGAACAGGATGCACACTAATGTGCATTACATGTATTGATATGCACAATTTTAATGTTTTCCTGTATCAGAAAGACAAGGAAGGAGAAGTAAAAAGATAAAGGGCAAGTAAGGGAAGACTAAAAGATAGCAATGAATATTTATCTTATAAAAACAGTAAAGTTGGGGCTGGAGAGATGGCTCAGTGGTTAAGAGCACTGGCTACTCTTGCAGAGGACCCAGGTTTGATTCCCAGCACCCACATGGCAGCTAACAATCTTCTGTAATTCCAGTTCCAGGGGAATCTGACGCCCTCTTCTGACCTCCACAGGCATTGCACTACACAAGTGCACCTCCATACATGCAGGCAATACACTCATACACACAAAATAAAAATCATAAAATATTTTTTAAACAGAGCTGAATTCTCATGACAGTACACTTGAAATACCAGGAACCTGGATAAATTAAACAGCTATCTTCCTTCCGAAGACAGGAGACTATTCCAAAAACAGCAATGACATTGTGATGGTTTATTTTGATTGTCAACTTGACAGAGCTAGAATCACCTAGAAAAGGAGACTCTTGGCATGCCTGTCAGGGATAGTCTTGATTTGGTTAATCAATGTAGGAAGATTTACCCTAAATTTGGGGAGCATTATTTTATGGGTTTGGTTTTGGATTGAAAAAA